GTGTTAACTTTTTAACACAAAATAAGGGGGTTTAAGTCATTTTACATTACATTAAATGCATCGAGATATAAGTATAAAAACACTAAACGAAGATATTTGTTTCTAGATATAATTTCTGGACGCATAAACCAAAAACACAGATGCTGAGTGACTGCGTCCAGACACAAATGAACAGCACCTAAGTGTGATGGGATCGTTAGGTGTCGGGTAGTCTCATCTGTACAATCTCAGCTGGTGGACGCAATGTGCAAACCATCTCTCTAGTCTTCCCAAAGTAAACCTGCATTTTTCCAGTGAACAGCTCTCAAACTTTAGAGCCACACAGTAAATTGTTCTTCTTTCTCGTTGTGTGATACATCGGTTCACACGATGTTTCTAGATTGACTTATGAGACGATAAAGTGATCTGATCTTAAACTTATCCTAAGATTTTTGAATATGGTTACATGATAATTACTCTGTATATTTTAGGGCTAGTCAGTCAGTTACAGAATTGGAATCATGAGATTAACAAACTAAGCAAACGGAATGAGGTCAATTTAAACAACCATTGAGGTTCACAATGCATATCGAAAGAGACTGTAGAATTGGTGCAGGGAACGGAGGAAGAACCTGATCAAGTGAGTTCCTAAGTTTGCCTTCCAATTCTTCAATCATTCTTCCCATATTGCACAGATGTCCCTCCGCTACTGCGAGCTCCATTTTCATCTAATTTCAGCAGTAGCAGAAAAATGATTCTTGTTTTAGAGAAATTCGGTATTTCTCCATTGAAATACTATCGAACTGGATCATACCAGGAATTGTTTGTCTATGAAGGCATGAGTTACATAGACGCTAAAACTTACCTGTCTTCTAATTGATCCAGATAAGCCGAATTTGCCTGAAGACTCATCATCAGTGGTCAGGGAGAGCATGATGGTACTTGTTAAGCAATACTGTGCCATTTCCTCCTCCTCTGGACCAACCTAGATTGAGAAACTCATGCGTTAGAAGTAAATTATGAAGTCATGAAAGAGCTGCTTGGGGAAAATATTATAAATTGCAACGTGTATAACACTGTAAGGCATACATGGCTATTGTGACTATGTTAAGAGAGTCACCTGTATAACATGTATGGCATCCCAAGCTCCTTCTTCCAGGCATCCCCTCCGACCATGACCTGACTTTGACCCATCTTTGAAAAACAAAAACCAGAACAGCTCAGGTAAAGAGTTTTTATTGGCTAACCTTCGRTGTGATTGAGCTCAACAGAAAGAAAATACCTTTCTTGATAAGGAAACATGCCACAAAGCCTTCATTAACATCCTCCCACATGTAGACTGAAGATATACCACCTTCATAATACCTGGAAGGAAAAAAACTTATCAAAACACATTATATTGTTTTACACATATCATACATGTTTAAACTTTGCAATTTAATCTTGAAAATGTGTTTTCACAGAAGAGTGTTAACGAATCTTCAGAACAAGTATGTCTGTTTTAGATAACTCAATCGCTTATCAAATTACAGGATTTTCAACTTGAACGAGGTAGGTGAAGAACCTCACTGGTCACGGTAAATTGCAAAGATGTCGTTGGCTTCAACTTCAAGCTTTCTTAATTCTGACGAAGGATAAAGAGCATCCTCTAGCAAAGGATAGTATTTATTTGACCAGGGTGACCTGCAAAAGCAAAGATTACAACAAACAGAAATTTAGCTACGAAGTAGTGTATGGGCATAATTATCATAGTAGCTTTGATCCAATATACTTTTATTTCCCTTTCACCTGATTCCGAGCAAACAAGCCAAAAGCCATCCAACAATTTAAGTATGTAAAACAAAACTCTATCATCTACACAATGAAAATAGAGCAAAAAAGTACCTGTAGGAATCTGCATCTCTATTGTACTCGCACAAAATGAAATCTTTCCCACTTTCAATATCACGTAACACCTGTTTCATCAGTAAACATGGATACTCTTCTCCGTGATAAAAGATTACAAAGAACCCACATTTATTTCATGCATCAAAAGAGGAAATGAGACAAATGATATCCACTTAAGCACCATACAGAGTAACTAGGAAGCAATAATTGAAATCAGACCAAAATGGGCAAAATCAAAACGAGCTAAACCTATCAAACGATTTTTCCTACCTGAACAATACCTCAGGATTCTCCAAAACCAAACATGGATCAGTAAAATCGAGAGAGTAAGGCAAAAACATTTCAAATCTCGACGAAGATAGAGACATACCTGAAGAGGGAGATCGACTTGAGAGAGAAGATCGGAAGAATGTTGAGGCAAAAGGCTGAGAAGTGCAGAGAGAGCCGTCTCCGATTGTTTCGGCGGCATTCTTCTGAGAAGTCCCAAAGCTGCCTCCATTTTTTTTTCAACCACTGTCTCTCCTAATCGTTAAGCTCGCCGGAGAAAATCCTCTCACCGAGAAAGACGAACAAACAACTAATCGTAACCGTATAATCAAATCTAATGGACCGTCTTTCATAACCCTTCAGGCCCATAATAAGGCCCAAAATCTCTACCAGTCTAAAATGACGTCGTTGTAGACAGAATATTTGTATAATTAAAAAAAAAAAAAAATTTGATCGGACCGGCGAATTGTTTAGTCAATGGAGACGATGCCGGAGAAGGAGAGAGATTCACCGCAAGAGATTGAAGAGACTACTCCGTTGCTCGATGATTCTCTACCCGAAGGTGAATTGAGATCTTCGACGGCGAAGAAGGAGGTTGAGATCCATCTTTATCGGTGTGGAAAAGGTCCGATCGATGTGTTCAAGTCGAATCTCGGTGGTTGGGAGCAGGATCAGCTCGAGGTTCGATCGACTCTAGAGAAATATGGATTAAAAGCTATCTACGCTTTCAACGTCGAGAAAGGTCGTGCTGTACCGATCCGATTCCACCCTAGGAATGGCCTGTCTGTGCTTCCTTACAGAGATGGTGCCGTCATTTACATCGACGGTGAACCTCAGGTAATCTCTCTCCTTTCTTCTGAGTCGTCTTCTGATTGTTTCGATTTTGAACGATTTACTTAGCCAGTGTGTTGTTCTTCAACCTACCTCCAGTTCTAGTTCACAGTGAATTTTGAATTTGAAAATTCTGGTGAATTTTGGTATATGTGCATAGCAATTGTAGACTGTGTCTGTTGAACAAAACTGTAGGAATCACGATAAAGAGTGTTTTAAGTTCAATTCTTCATAGTGTTTATGTGATGAGTTCTGCATTTGCTGGAAAATTATAAGTTTTTTTTTGCATCTGTGTCTTCTTCATCTTCTTGGATAGTAGAATTTCTCAAGATTAGCTTTCTGCATCCATTTAAGTTTATGATTTACTTTTGCTTGTAGCCCATGAAACCACATACATGTCATCAATAGTATAGACTGTCCAAGCTTCATTACTCTAGAATTTCATTACTCTAGAATTTCATTAATCTTGTAGATTAGACAGTTTCTTGGACTCACACATCTGGAACAGAGATTTACAAGACGTATGTAGATATTAGAAAGGATGACACAGTACCCTGAATTGGTTGGAGTAAAGAAAAGATTTGAATACCGTGGTTATAATATAATAAGAGAATATTGTTTAAACATGCAGCTTTAACACACCAAAGGTTCTCCAATAAGTTGTAATTATACTGTATGATTCATCTAATGACATTATTTGTTTGAACATGTCTTGTTTTCAGGATTCCTTGATTAAACCCATCACAAAAATCGTGCTAGGAGTCGTGATTGTTACGCTGCTAATAACGTTTTTGTTGAAAGACCCTCCTGCGTGGATCAAGAACAATATCTCCCTTGGGAACTTTCCTCCGTGGGTGCTCGCGTGCATAGTAATAGTATTCACCCGAGCTAGGAAGAGAACCAGAGACTTCTTCAAGAAGTATGGGTGGTAATATCACAGACCCTAACACTCGCCTGGCTTGAAATGTGGTCGAAATTGTAGTCTTTCGTCAACCATATATATAGAGGTTCTCTTGTCTTAACCAACAAGTTCTCTTTTGTGGTAACACTCCTTGTCTTTGATAAGCCTTGAGGCCCCAAATTGTTTGCTTTCAGGACCAAAAGAGAGCAAGCATTTTCTCCATTTGCATCTTGTTGAAATTTTTAGTTTTATGCATTTTCATGTGTATGTGTGGTTTTGCCATTTTGATGGAAACTGAACTGATACTTGTCTTCTTAAAACCAAAAAGTTTGGTAAAGCGACAAGCCTGTTCGTTTTCAATTTTGTTGTTAATTTGTATTCTTCCTGATAATGAAGTTACAACTAGAGGGAGTGGAAAAACCCGAAAGTAACCAAAATGAAATAGTTAATCCGAAATCAAACTGAAATTTATTTTTAGTTTGATAAATTGAAACCGAACCAAAATCGTTGTGAAGATCTCTTGTTTGTAATTGTAACATGGTTTGTCTACCCCTTCACATTAGGTTTCTTGAATTTTTATTTTTTTTTGCTAAATAGTTAAATATCATTAAACTGAAAGATAGGTATTACAACATTGACAACCTAAAACATTGTTTCCTTGGCAAAAAAAGAACTATCTGAGATTGGGAACTATGTGAAGTTGTGATGGCAGACTACCAACCCAGCCATAGCGACATTAGGTTTCTTGACTTTATTTTGATTGGACCTTCAAACACAGTAAAATATCAATAAATTAATTAATAAAATATTACAGTTTATAGAGTTACTTAAAAATTAATCAATTTTGACCTATGTTTTTATGTCAGACAAAAACAAATTCTCTAGTTGGTGATTTCATCCACAAAAGCAGGTATGTATATGTATTTGAAGTACTGTATTATTCTAACATCAAAATTGAATTAAAGATCACACTACTGTATGCATTACTCTTTTCTCAGATAAATCTTTCTATATAGTCAATTAACAAATTCACCTTTAACTCATCTACAGGTTTAGAATGATAATATTTATTATGTTTTTTAAAAAAATTTATAAAAAAAAACCATCGATCCTAAATAAGTTTGTAAATAAGAATTTGACCTAAATTTTCGTATATGCTACGAAGACTGTGTCCAACTATAAATTGGTCAAATTACAGGCAACACAAAAATAGGATACTATTATCTTATTAGATTAAATGAATTTCAAGTTATCACCAATTTTCAAAATATGTCAAAACAAAGCTGTTAAAAAAAAAAGTCAAAACAAATAGCCACTAATAAGTAAAAAACCATCAAGTGAAAATTGTTTTTGTTCTATATAGCGATTTAAATCGTTATGAAACAATATGTGAAATCTATTATGGCTGCTTAGATGATCATGGTCCATATATAATTAGGTTAAAATGCACCGTAATTTTAAGCTAATGGCTATTGAGTACTTGAAGTATTGATAATAATGTGAGTGCTAACAAATACTTACTCCGTTTTATATTATTTGGTGTTTTAAAAAAAAATTGCTCCATTT